GCAAGTCTGGCATTCTCAGAAAGCTAAGTCTTTGTAAAAACATATATTGGTAGTTATGGGTCAATAATTTCAATAATTAAGTCAGAGCTAGCCAATGAGAAACAATAGCAAATGGCCAACAGCTTCTTATTTAAAATAGTGTCTTATGTGTTATTTGGGGGCTAAAGCGACAATGGGTCCCAGGTGGCCGGCAGGAAGAATGCACGTTACAGGTTCTGTATTTTTTTCTTTTAATCTAATAAGTTTTTACTAATGAACTTCAGAATTTTAAGCTTGCAAATATTAGACTACACTGGGTAACAACTGTATTAGTTACTTTTGTTGCTGTAACAAATCTCTTGAGGTAAGCAACTTAACCAATGAGGATTTATTCTGGCTCACAGTATGAGAAGCCGAGAAGGCCTGACAACTGGAGAGTAAGTGGCTGCTCAGATGGCACACAGTCAGGAAGCATAAAAAGAAGAAAAGTGGAGCTCAGCTCTCTTTGTCTTTTCTATTCAGTACAGAACCTCAATGAACGGATTAGAGCTGCTCACATTCTTGGCAGGTTTTCTCTCCTTTGATGAACCTCTGTGGAACAATCTCAGGGATGTACCTAGAGATTCCTCTCCTAGGTGACTTTAAATCCCACCAAGTTGACAGGTCATTACCATGGTGATGCATATGGAAACAAATACTTTTTATCAGGAGAGTATGATGACTACTGCACTAAGTAAACACACATGTTCTTTTGAAAGGATTGCTTTAATTCAAGTCTGAAAATACCAGGGACCTTATAACTTCCTGTGGGATGATCTGTGATTAGATCTAAATAATACAAAGGCAACATGCATTCCTTAGAATTCACACCTCAAATTTTGAATTTTGACTCTTTCCTTGGACAAAATCACATAAGAGTATTACTGGAGATTCACCTTAGTCCCTGAGTGAGGTGGTCTAAACTTAAGAAAGTCTATCTCTGAGCACTTTCCCAAAAAATGAAACCTGTGATGGAGAGGATGTGGAGTCAAGAAAACATTCCTCCACTGTTGGTTTGAGTGTAAACTTGTACAGCCATTTTGTACATCTGTATGGTGGTTTCTAAGAAAATTGGGAATCAGTCTGCCTCAGGACCCAGCTATACCACTCTTGGGCATATACCCAAAGGACACTCAGTCACACCACAAGGACACTTGCTCAACTATATTCATAGCAGCATTATTCGTAAAAGCCAGAACCTGGAAAAAAACTTAGATACTCCTCAACCAAAGAATGGATAATAAAAATGTGGTACATATACACAATGTACTACTATCCAGCATAAAAAAATGAGGACCTCGTGAAATTTGCAGGCAAATGGATGGAACGAGAAAAAACCATCCTGAGTGAGATAACCCAGACTCAGAAAGACAAAAACAGTATGTATTTACTCATAAGTTAATATTGGTTCTAAAGCAAAAAGGATAACCAGATTACAGTCCACAGCTCTAGAGAAACTAGGTAACAAGGAGGACCCTATGAGGAACACATGTATCTCCCTGGGAAGAGAAATTAGAGGAGATCTACTGGGTAAACTGGGGGCAGGGGAGTAGTAAGGAGAAGGAGAGGGGATGAGAACATGAGGGAATGATACGGTGGAGGGGGCAGGGATACGGAGGAAGAGAAATAAGAGATATCTTAATAGATAGAGAGACTATAGGGTTAGACAGAAACCTGGGGCAAGAGGTACTTCCCAAGTATCAACAAAGATGACTCCAGCTAAGACTTATCAGTAGTGAAGAGGATACCCAAACTGGCCTTCACCTGTAATCATATTGGTGAATACCCAAACTTTAATCATATAACATTCATTCAGTAATTAATGTAACCAGACTCAGAGATCCACAACCAAGAACCAGGCTGAGCTCCGGGAATCCAGCTGGAGAGAGGGAGGAGGGAATGTATGAACAAGGGAGAACAGGTCATGATGGAAAAGTCTACAGAGACAGCTGAGCCAAGCTCATGGAAACTCATGATCTCTAGACCCACAACTGTGGAGACTCCAGGGGACCAAACTAGGCCCTCTATTTGTGGGAGACAGTTGTGAAGCTTGGGCTGAGGGGCTTATGCCAGGAGAACCACCATATAAACCTGGTATATGAACTAGCTAGTTGGAGTCCATTCCTTATGGTGAGATGCCATACTCAACCTTAATACATGGGATAGAGGCTTGGCCTGCCCCAACATATTGTGCCAGACTGTGTTGACTCATTATGGGAACACTTACTCATGAGGAGCAGTAGACTAGGGGTAGGATGGATGGGGAGAGGCATAGGGAAGTGGGAAGAGGTGTGGGAGGGAGAATTGTGCCTGGAATGTAAAATAAAATATTAAAGAATAAATTTTCATTTTTTTGGTGTTTCTCTGTGGCTTTGGAGGCTGTCCTGGAACTAGCTCTTGTAGACCAGGCTGGTCTCGAACTCACAGAGATCTGCCTGCCTCTGCTTCCTGAGTGCTAAGAATAAATTTTTAAAACAAAAAAATTTTAAAAGAATGAAGCATAAAACAAGAAGGAATAGAAGAGAGTACAATATGGTGGATGTACAAAGAAGCACTTTGAAAAATCAAGATGGATTTAACAGAGAGTAAAAGCAGTTTGTGCCTGAGTCTTTTGTCTTCTGGGGATTTTAAAGAGGTGAGAATGGAAACTCTTCTGCCCAGGATCACGCTAGTCATATGTGTGAAAACTGACCTTCACTGCTGTGGGCTAACGAGAAATAACCAGTTAACCACTTTCCATCACATTGGTTTGACTAAGACATCAGTTAAAGGCTATTCTGGGTGGCCAACCACATTTTCTACCACAGATACCCTTGTAGCTTTTGTTTGCTGGGGCCAGGAAGGCAAAACTAGTCTATTTACTGCTATTAGTTTAAAAGTCAGCTTTGTGACTGTTCTGGTTCATTCTGAGCTAAGGTATTTGAGGATTGCTCAACTCTTAATAACTGAAAGCTTTAAGCTGCTTCTTTGAGAACTGCTTGGGCTGAATTTCCCTCTCCTGTAGCCACTATTTGCCTTAGCTCTGATAATTATATCATTCACTTTGATGTAGCTGTATCTGGCTATCATTCTTCCATGTTCTGATTACATGTTCTATCATGAGTATCATCTCTGCCCTTCTTATTTATTCATTCATGTCTTGTGCATCTATTCACAGGTTTCCATCTAGCAGATGACTTTAACAGTGATATCATATTTCATTCACATTTTTATTTTAATGTGTACTAAGCTAGTTGGATGTAAAATAACCAAACACATATGTCTTTAAAAGAAAAATAAAAGTTGACATGCAAGAGTTTAGTAACGAAAACATTCTAAGAAGCATTAAAATGCACAGATGTGTGTGTGTGTGTGTGTGTGTGTGTGTGTGTTTCAAGTACAGGAAATAGTTTTAGTTAATCCATATACACTCTGACAAGGATGTATGTTTTTACTCATAGTAAATATTATTTGTAAACTTTTAACTCTATGGTTTACTAGATGTTTTAAAATACTTTGTTTATTTTAATTTATACTAAAGCTGGTGGTTTGTTGTCAAAACCCTAACAACTAAAGAACTAAAATACAATTTCCCTTCTTTGGCTGTTTGACATATATTTTAAGGTATTCATACATAACCCACATGTATATAATTTATACATATAACTTATCATGTACAAGGTACACATTTTCTGTATCAGATGATTTGATAATCCTAAAAATCATAAATGTAAGGGTAGCTAATTTAAAAGAACACAGAAACTGTATTACTACAATTATTTATGTACTAAATTTAAAATCAACTTCCTATTTCGTATTAAGGAGCCGGATGGGTGGCTCAGCAGGTAAGAGTGATGTTGCTCTGGCAGAAACCCCAATTTCATTCCCAGCAGTCAAGTCAGAAGGCTCAAACATTCCCATAACTGTAGCTTAGAGGATCCAGTGTCCTCTTCTATTCTCCTCAGGTAACTGTAAGCAGGTGGAATATGTTCTCACAGACATGCACATACACATAAATAATAATACCAACAAAAAAGAATGCTGTTAAATATGCATCTGTTAAATGACACATAATGGCAGTCACAGAGTAATGAATAATATGAGCCCAGAGCATGGTTCACAAGTGTGTCTAAAGACCTGTGCCTACTTTTAAGAGAAACTCTACCTGCCTAGATAATTCTACAGTGCCTCCTTACTATATTATTTCTGTTGGAAATTGACTGCTTGAAAAGAATCAATTATGGGGAGGGAACAAAACAAGCAAACAAAGAATAGGTTAAGCCAAAGTCAGATCTGCCTTAAAAGAAGCTAGAAATCTCTAAATTATTTTTCCTAGTTAATTCCTTATATTGTTAGTATTCAGCACCAGCTCAGTATTGTCTGCACTGGTCTTTATTTTAATTAATTCAATAATATGGATGTTCTCAGGATGGTGGGAAGTACTGGCTAGAGCTTGCATACTCTTTGGTGTTTATGTTTTTAATACAATTAAAAATATTACAGATTTTTTTCAATTCAATGAATATATATATATATATATATTACTCCATGAAGGAAGCATTTTTGTACCCCCTATCTTTAGTTTTAATAATTTGTAAAATTTAGTTGTTAACTATTTCCCACGGTCATGATAGTCTACAATTATACCTTTCTTGAACACTCTAAATTCAAGTTTTCAGTAAATAAATGCTTCCTGACATTTACAGGTTTAGTAGTTTTTTTTCTCTAAAATGACACAGAAATTGATGGAAAATGTGATCCTGATTTCAGTGGGACTTTTTGATATAGGAATGTGAAGTGACATCATAAACTGTCCTCCACTATCAGCTCCCACAGTCAGTGATACCTATCAAAAGGCCCCTCCCAATGTCACCATGGAGGTAACAAGCTAGTAGAGTAAACTCATCATAGGTCTCAGCTAGCAGGCAGACCAAGCCTGCCTTCCAGCTGGTGAAAACTGAAGAATAGACCCAGATGATATCAGAGGCTGTGAGTGTGGGGCTGGGTCTGTGATCTCATGCTGTCTGTGGCAGAGGGATGAAGAATGCCATAGTAAGCTAAGTAGAAAGTTCAGACGGCTTTGAATTGTTGCAGGACAGAACTGAACCGAGTCTGCCTATTCAGCCCAGAGGCGAAGGCAAGAGTGGTTCAAAGTAAGAGTGTTTTTAAAAATTACTCACTGTTTAAACTGCAGATTACTAATTTATCATATTTTGGAAAATATTTTTCTCTTTGTAGACATTCGAGATATGCATTATTTCCTACAGAATGATGGAAAATACCTCAATGTGGTTACTAAAAAAATCACATGGTTGGCTCAGAATGTATTTTAAGAATTTAAAAGTTGTACTTTCTTGTGAACAGTTTGCTGACTCTGTCCTCAGAATCACCAGAAGCTTTTGTCTGGGAAAAGATGCTTTATATGCTTAAATCATTAAATAAGCCATATTTCCTCGCTATGTTATTTCGAAATAGTTATGTAGAAATACACCCAAAATTTTTGAGACTTTGTGGGAAGATTCATTAAATATAACAATGTAACATTTGTATCTGTTCAAGAAAAAAAAACGTGGAAACAGAACACATAAATAAAATGAAATCTTCCCAAGTGTACATTCTATAAAACAAAATTTTGTGCTATTTTCTGCTTCTTTGATTTTGTTTTACAAATTTGCTTTCCCATTTTCATATATATGGTTTTCATTTCATACTATATCTTTCCAATAAAAATATAAAATCAAGAACAAGACAAGGTTGTACAGTCTCCCCATACCTCTTCAATATTGTACTTGAAGTTCTTGCTAGAGCAATAAAACCACAAAAGGAAATCAAGGTGATACAAATTGGAAAGGAAGAAGTCAAACTTTCATTATTTGCAGATTATATGATAGTTTGCATAAGTGACTCGAAAAGCTCTACCAGGGAACTCCTATAGCTGATAAACACATTCAGCAAAGTGGCAGGATACAAGATTAACTCATAAAAATCAGTAGTACTACTATATATAGAAAATAAAGAGGCTGAAAAAGAAATCAGAGAAACATCACCATTTACAAAAGCCACAAACAGCATAAGATATCTTTGGGTAACTCTAACCAAACAGGTGGAAGACCTGTATGACAAGAACTTTGAGTCATTAAAGAAAGAAATTAAAGAAGATAACAGAAAATGGAAAGATCTCCCATGCTCTTGGATAGGTATGATCAACATAGTAAAAACGGCAATCTTATCAAAAGCAATCTACAGACTCAATGTAATGCCTATCAAAATTCCAGAACAATTTTCACAGACCTTGAATGGACAATTCTGAACTTTATATGGAAAAAAAGACCCAGGATAGCCAAAACAACCCTGTACAATAAAGGAACTTCAGGAGGCATCACCATCCCTGACTTTAAGCCCTACTATAGAGCTATAGCAATGAAAACAGCTTGTTATTGGTACTAAAATAGACAGGTAGACCAATGGAAATGAATTGAAATCCCTAAATGTGACTTTTATGAGATGTATTGTGACAAAATTTAAGCATTTCTTAGGGATGTAAGAAATTGTATTGCTTTTCTTTCCCCCAGTTCTGGACATCAAACCCAGTTTTCAAACGCTAGGCAAGGTCTTACCACCAAGCCAAATTCCCAGCACTGGTTATTCTTAATTGTAATCTACTTATGGTAAACATCTATGTCTTAATTGAGCTTATTTGTTTAGTAGATAAGGTTTTAAAGAAATTGTAGTTCAAAAGATCAACACATCCCTGTTTCTCTTTGACCCTCTGTGGCTCTTCCTCTAGAGCTCTGAATTTTCAGGCATGTACCTCTAGCTCTAAAACCAGAGCTATATATCTGTCATTATTATTATTGTTATTATTATCACTATTATTATTATTATTATTATTATTATTAATGCCTGCTCCTGTCTGGAAATAAGGGCTATATTTGTTTTTCTTATTAGTACTAATTAACTCAGAAGAAATTTCTTATGTTGATTCAGATCAGATTCTTCCCTTGCTTATTTTATCCATTTTCAGAAATGTGACTTACATTAGTTAAGTATAGAAGAAGGTTTTAGAAATTTTATATATATATATATATATACAAATAAAGAATGTCAATAATTGGCTGTCTTCTGTCTTATCTAGGCAATATCATTTGGATTTCTTGAGGTTAAGTTTCCCCATCTATAAAGCAGGACACAGAACTACCATAACTGTGATTGTTGTTAGAACTATAGTCGGAGTTGTTCTCTTGACTTCTTTGTCTTAGATGGCATGATTTCCTTTTTTTTCTCATACTGTAAGACAAGAACCATGAAGTACAGTGACTACAAAATTAACAAGATAGGAAAACAAAAGATGTTTTGATATAATGCAGTAATAGAATTTATATGAATGTGCCTTTGCTAAAAGTGACTCTTCCCACAAAGTCTACTATTGTTGCCATTGGGGCTAATTCAGGCATTCAGTGATCAGATATAATTTTTCAGCAAAATATGTATCTAGAGATTTCTAAATTTTAGCAACCAATAGAATTGAGTTGTCAGACATCTTGAGATAATATATTTGATAATAGACCATTGCTTAATTATGCTAAATTTCTTGTCTAAAGTGTCACAGAGAAAAAAATTTAAAACAAGTTGTAGATTCATGGAGAAATTCACTTTGTTCAGATCATTCCTCTTGTTACTCAGCTCTCTATTGCTTCATGATTCATGCTCCCATTATTAATTGGACTAATTATACCTTGTGAAACACTGGTACGGATATTTTCTGTGCTCCTGCTTGCAGCCATCAGAAATGAGAGAGGAAGGAAGCACATATGCAGAACCGACATTATCCTTTAAGAGTAAGGAGAACCAAAACCAGCCAATTAAGATAAAGAAAGGTAACATTTTCTGCCTTGTGTGTGTGTGTGTGTGTGGGTTTGTGTGTTGAAAACACAATATCAAATATGAAAAACATAAGCTCATAATTACATTCACAAATATTTGATATTGTATGTTACATGTCTGGTTATTTCTATTAAAATATATTTCTGGATGGACTGATCTTAATTTTAACCTCAGGCATAAACATCCATTTTTCTCTAATTATGAGGTCTTCCTATGTTTGTTATGTGATTTGTCTTTTGATATTATGCAGACTCCCTATGGCGTATGACTGCTATGATCCTGGGAACAGTATGTCTTTGTCTTCTGATGTCAAATACAGTCTTGGGATATCTGTGTGAGTATAATACATATATGTATATATATATATACATATATATATACTATGGCAACAATGAGGTAAAATGACATAACAACTGGTGAACTTTGTAACGTTCCTAGACATCCTAGTGATTATGGATATTAGTAATAATTGTGATGATGATACAGACTTTATTAGTATCTTATATTTCTGCTTTTCAGACACATAAAATATTATACTGCTATAATTATACAGATGTACATGAATAAATACAATGCAGATTAATATATAAAATAAATATAATCAAGTTTGCTTATAATCAGTGAGTTGAGAGTGCATATATTTCCTCACTAAATTCATTTAAAGAAAATACATGTGATTATATCATGTAGTAAACACAAAGATGCATAGAGTCAAATTCTCCTAGATGTATTCATCAACTTAAAATGAGCACAAAACTGAAATCTGTATGCAGTTTCATTATGTAAAATTTCAGTGGGCTACTTACATTAGGTAGATTGCTCTTTTTTCTGCTTTTATAATTTGGACATTTTTTAGGCTGACTTTCAAACACTCAAGAGTCACACAAGAGGGTGGACAGATGGCTAAGTGGTTAAGACCACTTGTTCTTGCAGTGGCAAAGAGCACAGCTCTTGCAGGCCCTGCATTCAGTTCACAGAGCTATAGGGTAGCTCACAACCCTCCTTAGCTCTAGTTTCAGGGGGTTGGCTCAACACCATCTTCTGGCCTCCAAGCTCACTGAATACACATGGTAAACATACATTCATTCAGGCAAAACACTCACACACATAAAATAATTTTTTAAAAGAATCAGACAAATGTTTAACAGAAATCTCCATTAAGCAGGAAGTACACTATGGCCAGTTAATAAATTTGCTTTGCATATGCACTTCAAGTACTTAGCTTCCTGCAATACTGTTGGAACCACAAAGGAGAATAAACATGACCTCTTTGCTCCATGAATACACCACCATTTATCAGTTTTGATATTGTTTTGTTGTTGTTGTTGTTTTGTTTTTTGTGTTTTTTTTTTGAAAGAGGGTTTCTCTGTAGCTTTGGAGGCTGTCTTGGAACTCGCTCAGTAGACCAGGCTGGCCTTGACAATTTTGACACATGTCTAATCAGTTAATTTTATTGTTTACTTGGTGAATTTGGTTGTTGTTTAATACATGGTCCTGTTCTGTAAGCCTAGCCAGATTGAAATAGACTGAGATACACCTACCTCTGACCCTCCTACCCACCCCAGTGCTAGGTTTAGAGGTTTTGCCATCACACCTGGCTGAAGTTGTTTCTTAACTGCTCGTCCCCCTGCCATTACCTCCCAGTGCTGAAATTACAGATCTTCAGTGATACACCTGGCTCTAACAAATTTGAAAACTTACACTCTATAATTTATATCAGTATCATTTTTCTGTTTGCTTGAAAACATTTTGGGTTAAATTAAATTAATTCATTCAATAAACAATTTTGTTATCTCCAATGGGGCAAAAAATATGTATGGCATCAAGATTTCAGAAATTTAAAGAGGATCCTACTTGTTTACTAGCTTCACTGATGGTGTGAATTGTAGGCTGGTAATCCTTTCTCTATGTCTAAAATACATATATGAGGAGTACATACCATGTTTGTCTTTTTGTGACTGAGTTACCTCACTAGGGATAGCTTCTTATAATTCCATCCATTTGCATGCAAATTTCAAGATTCCATTGGTTATTTTTCCACTGAGTAGTACTCCATTGTGTAAATGTACCACATTTTCTCTATCCACTCTTCAGTTGAGGGGTATCTAGGTTGTTTCCAGGTTCTAACTATTACAAATAATGCTGCTATGAACAGATGTCCTTGTGGTATAAATGTGCATCTTTTGGGTATATGCCTAAGAATGGAATTGCTGGGTCTTGTGATAGACTGAATGCCATTTTCCTGAGGACCTTACATACTGATTTCTAAAGTGGCTATACTATTTGGTACTCCCACCAACAGTGGAGGAGTTTTCCCCTTCTCCACATCCTCTCCAGCATAAACTGTCATTGGTGTTTTTGATTTTAGCCATTCTGACAGAAGTAAGATGGTATCTCATAGCTGTTTTGATTTGCATTTCCCTGATGGCTAAGGATGTTGAGCACTTTTTTAAGTGATTATCAGCCATTTTAGATACCTCTATTGAGAATTCTCTATTTAGTTCTGTACCACACTTTTTAATTGGATTATTAGGTGTTTTGGAAACTAGTTTTTGAGTGCTTTATAAATTTTGGAGATCAGCCTTCTGTCAGATGGGGGTTGGTGAATATCTTTTCCCATTCTGTTGGCTGCCATTTTGTCTTGTTGACTGTGTCCTTTGCCTTACAGAAGCTTCTTATTTTCAGGAGGTCCCATTTATTAATTGTGGATCTCAGTGTCTGTGCTACTGGTGTTATGTTCAGGAAGCAGTCTCTTGTACCAATTTGTTGAAGAGTATCTCCTACTTTCTCTTTAAGAGGTTCAGTGTGGCTGGATTTATTTTGAAGTCTTTGATCCATTTGGACTTTTGTGCAAGGCAATAGATGTGAATCTATCTGCAGTTTTCTACATGCCAGCATCCAGTTATGCCAGCACCATTTGTTGAAGATGCTTTCTTTTTTCCATTGTATAATTTCAGCTTCTTTGTCAAAAATCAGGTATTCATAGGTTTGTGGGTCCATATCAGTGTTTTCAACTCAATTCCATTCGTCTACTGTCGATTTCTGAGCCAATACCAAGCTGTTTTTAGAACTATAGCTCTATTATAGAGCTTGAAGTGAGGGATGGTGATGCCTCTGGAAGTTCCTTTATTTTACAGGGTTGTTTTGTCTCTCCTGGGTTTTTTTCCACGTAATGTTGATTATTGCTCTTTCAAGGTCTGTGATGAATTGTGCTGATATTTTGATGGTGATTGCTCTGAATCTGTAGATTGCTTTTGGCAACATTGCCATTTTTACTATGTTGATCCTACCTATCCAAGAGCCATGGGTGATCTCTCCATTTTCTGGTGTCTTTTTAAATTTCTTTCTTTAAAGACCCAATGTTCTTTATATATAGGACTTTCACTTGTTTGTTATTATTACCCCAAGATATTTCATGTTGTTTGTGGCTATTGTACAGGGTAATGTTTCTCTGATTTTTTTCTCAGTGCATTTATCGTCTGTATATAGTAGGGCTACTGATTTTTATGAGTTAACCTTGTGTCTTGCCTCTTTGCTGAAGGTGTTTGTCAGCTACAGGGGTTCCCTGGGAGAGTTTTGGGGTCACTTATGCAAACTATAATATTATCTGGTCTCCTTTTAATGTCTTACTGATCTAGCTCGTACTTCAAGTACAATATTGAAGAGATATGGAGAGAGTGGACAACCTTGTCTTGTTCCTGATTTTAGGGTAATCAAGTTGAGTTTTGCTCCATTTAATTTGATGTTGGCTGTTTGTTTACTGTATACTGCTCTTATTATGTTCATGTATATTCCTATTATCCCTGATCTCTCCAGGAACTTTTAACATAAAGTGGATTTTTCAAAGGCTTTTCAGCATTTAGTGATATGATCATGTGATTTTTTTGTTTGTTCATATGGTGGATTATATTAATATATTTTCATATGTTGAAACACCCCTGCATCCCTGGGATGAATCCTACTTGATCATGGTGAATAATTTCTCTCATGTGTTCTTGGATTTGTTTTGCCAATATTTTATTGAGTAGTTTTGCATCAATGTTCATGAAGGATATTGGTCTGTAGTTCTCTTTCTTAATTGTTTCTTTGTGTGGCGTGGGTACCAATTTAATTGTAGCCTGGTAAAAAGAGTTTGGCAATGAACTTTCTAGTTCTATTTTGTGGAACAGATTGAGGAATCTGTATTAGCTCTTCAAGAAGGGGAAAGGGACAACATCTCCTGAGCAAATTTGGAGCATGGGGCGGGGGGAGATGGAGCTAGAAGAAAGAGAAGGGGAGAAGAGGAGGGGAGAAGAAGACATGTGGGAGCAGGAAGAGTGAGTCAGGGGAAGAACAGAAGAGAGCAAGATAAGAGATACCATAATAGAGGGAGCCATTATATGTTTAAAGCAAATCTGGCACCAGGAAAATAACCAGAGATCTACGAGGATGACACCAACAATCTAAGCAATAGACGAGAAGCTAACTTAAATACCCTTCCCCAATAATGAGATTGATGACTACCTTATATGCTATCCTAGAGCCTTCATCTGGTAGTTGATGGAAGCAGAAGAAGACACTCACAGCTAATCACTGAACTGAAATCCTCGAATCCAGTTTCAGAGAGGGAGGAGTGATGAGTAAAGAGGTCAAGACCAGGCTGGTTGCAACCCTCAGAAACAGCTGACCTGAACAACAGGGAGTTCATGGACCCCAGACTGATTGCTGGGAAACCAGCATAGGACTGATCCTGACCCTCTGAACTTGGGTGTAAGAGAGGAGGCCTCCACAATCTATTGGGCCTCCGGTAGTAGATCAGTATTCATCCCTAACATATGAAAGAACTTTGAGGGCCCATTCCACCTGTAGGTATACTCTCTCACCATAGACATATGGGGGAGTGCCTAGGTCCTGTTCCAAATGATATGACAGACTTTGAAGATTCCCCCATTAAAGGCTTCACCTTCACTGGAGAGAGGAAAGGGGATGGGATGAGGGTTAGTGAGGGACATTGGAAGAGGGGAGGGAGAGGAAACTGGTATTGACATGTAAAATAAGCTTGTTTCTAATTTTAATAAAAAGATAGAAAATATATTTAAAGAGGAAAAAAGCTTTTAAAGATTTACTTGGAAAATATATATATATATATTTATATATTGGAGTGGTTTTAAAAATAAAATTAATGCAATAAGGGCATGATGCATTGTTTTATGGGTGACACATAACATCTTGATGTCAAGAAGCCTTCCTAGTTGAGACATCAATTGAGGTTAAATAACAGAAAATAAGAATTAGGACACTCATATAGAAAACTCATCTACATAGAGTAGGGAGCATGAGAAAGGAAAAGATTTAGAGACCACAGACAGTTGTGGTATAGTGAAAGAATAAGCTAGATACAAATTTGGACAGATAATGCTAATTTATAAAGGTTTCCGTACCATACCAGGCAACTTTAGAGTCCATATGAAAGAAAAATGAAATAAAAAATAACTGTCTGGTGATTGTAAGTGAAGAGCCACTGTTATATGGACAGGCAAGGCCTTTAGAAGGAGAAGACTCAGAAAACTAGAAATGAACATGCAAGTATAGGATACTTGTTTCAGAAGTGACCGTGATTGCCTAGTTTAGCATCATGATAGAAGTCAGGGAAACACGGGAGGAATGCCTAAGCTGCAGAATGGCTAGAACATGCAATTAGCTGAGTAGGGGAGGAACAAGAAGGCATCAGTGATCCAATTTCATGTCAGACTCATATTTTTTTGTAGACAAAATCATATTAAATGTGAGAAAAAACATATGAACACTAAGCTAAGGTGTGTGGGTGTGTGTTTCTAATAAGAGAGAGAGTGTGAGGGAGAGACAGAGACAGAGACAGAGAGAGACAGAGAGAGGAGTATGTTGCACAACAGTGAACATATCCACAAAGTTTATGTTGAATTATCTTTTTCAGTTTGTGGTAGGTAATAGATTCAGAGTATCAGCACACATATGAGCTCAAGGCAGATATCTACATTAGGGATACAAAATGTGTTTAATTACACTCAGTTAATACAGCAAATTACTTCAGAAGGCATATCATATAGAAACCTTTCAAAACCAGTGGGTAGTGTTGCCATGTTTGAAGACAAGAGGTCAGGAAGATGACACTTAGGATAAATTAACATAAAAAACAGGCAACTGTGATTGAGGGTGAAAGAGATGGAAATCTGATTAGTGGAAACACAGCCATCTGGCATCAGGCACAGTGTACTAAGGATAGCCAGTGCTGAAGTGAAATGTCAGTATAAACAGACAGAACTTTGATCAAGAGGAAGACCACTAAAGCTCTGTGCTTAGCAGTGAATCTCTGCTTCTGCTTCTATCAGCTACTGGGTAAAGGCTCTAGGATGGCATTTAGGGTAATCATCGATCTCATTATTGGGGAAGGGCATTTAAGGTTGCCTTTCCACTATTGCTTAGATCCTTAGTTCGGGTCATCGTTATGGATTCCTGGAAATTTCCCTAGTACCAGGTTCCTCATTAAGCCTATATTGACTCCCTCCATTAAGGTATCTCTGTCGTTGCTCTCCTCTGTTCTTCCTCCAACTCCACCTTAGGAGAAAAGAGGAGGAGAAAAGGGAAGGGGAGAAAAGAACATGAGGGATCAAGGAGGTCTTCAAGTTGATTCTTTCTTTAAAAGACTTACTGCCTCTGCACTCCTATGCTTTTGCCCACCCCCATATACAAATGACTCTAAAACATAGTAAGTCTTTTAAGGGGAGGGACTTAGCTCTGCAACAACTAGTTTCAGTGAGTTGTGAGCTATCTGATATGAGGGCCAGGAACAAAAATTGGGTCCTCTGCAAGAGTAGAACATGCTCTTAACCACTGAGCTATATCATCATCCCCAAGATTATAATTCCAAACAGAGATTTCTAGTTCACTTTTTGTACATTAAAAAAATCTATTTGATTTTCTCCGTGCATATTCAATAAGTCCATTATAAATTAAAATATAAAGTCAGATCTTTCAGACTCCACACATAAACATTAAACGGAATAGTAAATTTCAAAGCATTGTTTGCAGATACAGGGCATACAGTCAGTTCATACAATTTTTTTCTTTTCAGTTGACCTTTTCTTTTACAAATGTTGTAAGTACTTTAAAAGTAGTGTGTTGCAAGTTTTAAATAGCTGTATTTTAAAATAGATTTTGTTTTCTAGCACTTCAAATATTTTATATTTTCTTGCTGTTGTTTAATTAACACCATCTACTATTTACAATTACTGTAATTGTAAATGTACTGTAAATGACTGTAATGTGGTCAGTTATCACAAATTGTGGTTCTAATCTCACAGTATGGAATTAGTTTTTCAGAGAACTTCTAACTTCAAAATTCAATATGGGGAAGATGCAAATACAAATACAGTCTCCTCAATGAAAGTAGAAGGTCCTTCAAGTTTACCACCAATTGCAGGTATGCATCAAAACTTGAACTGTCATACTTTTAGTGGTATTTACATTTCCATCCCACTTCATATTTTAATCTTAAAACTTTACATTGAACTTTGGCAGGATTTGAGTTTTGCTCACCTCTCCTTACCAAATGCATCATTTTTGTTACAGTTAAGTAAACTTTTGACTTCCACCGAAAAAGATGATATTGGTTTGCACCTTGAGTTTACTGAGCATTTCATATGATTCTATACTGTGGGTGTATACTGTGGGTTTATTTGCCCAGTGTAGAGCCTTTTAGATCAATGTCACTCCCATTGCTCATTTTTATGGATCTCTGTAACCATCCGGGAGCCTTCATCCAGTGACTGATGGAGACAGAGGCAAATACACACAGTTAAACACTCAACTGAACCCAAGGAACCCAGTGACAGAGAGAGAGGAGCGATGAGCAAATTGGCAGAGAATGGGCTGGCAAAAACAGCAGAGACAGCTGATCCGAACAGGGGAGAGCTCTTGAACCACAGACCGCTGGGAGGCCAGCATGGGACCAATCCAGACCCCCTGAATTTGAGAGTCAGTGAGGAGGCCTGGGCAACCTATGGGGCCCTGGGCAGTGGATCAGTGTTTATCCCTGGAATACTAACAGACATCGTGTGTCCATAACACAAAGAGGGATGCTCTCTCAGCCTGGACTCTTAGGGGAGTGCCTGGGCCCTACCCTGAGTGAAATGACAGACTCTAGATATCCCATATGTGGAAAGAATTGGCGATAGGGTTGGAGGCTGGGGGGGATGGTGGGGGGATGCGGGAGGAGGAGAAGGAGAGGGAACTGGGATTGTCATGTAAAACAAGCTATTTAAAATTAAAATAAAACAAGAAATGCTTAATGCTGGTGTCTTTTTTCCTTGAGAAGTTAAGATTTGTCAATACAGCCCTCACAAAGTTCTCAGATCTGTCAGAGACAGCTTCCATATTCAAAAGATTCTTTCCTTTAAAGTTTAACAGAAGATCTATTTTTAGTGAAAACAATTACTCTTTGGAGTTAAATATGGAACCAATGATGAAACATCCAAATCCCATGTCTTGAAGTGGCTCTGAGGATAATGGGTGCTTTTATTTTCAGGAAAAGGCTACTACCCATGTCACGGAAGATGGTCGTGTTGTGGAGAAAATTGTTACTACTTTTCAGAAGAAGAAAAGACATGGGATGAGAGTGATGCATCCTGTAGACGCCTGGGTTCTCACCTGGCTGAGATTGACAACAAAGAGGAGCAAGTGTGTGGAGTGTGTTAACTGAGTGTTTCTTGAGAAGTCCCGATGCCTTGAGCTGTGATAATCATTTACGTTCCTTCTACTGTTCTTTGCCTGTTAAACAGAAACACTTGTGTACTTTGGCACATATTTACCTGGAGAGAAAAGGGCACAGACATTAAAAATTCCCAGGCGATCATTTTTATATCTTTAGAAATAGCCCTGGTGTGGGCTCCATGGGATAATTCTCAACCACTTTACTGACATTGCATTTTCAGAGTTTAGCTTGAGCAGACCATTTGTTTTAGTGAAAAGCTAATAAGAAAAGCTATCCTTGATGACACAAGTGACCAAAACAAGTAATTATTTTTGAGTTCTGCTCTTCTATCATCAGTACCTTGAAAAATTGTGCTTCTCTGTCATTTGACATGGGAGAAATGGGATTTAAAATAAAGGACAAATAAATAAAAGGAATATGGTAGGCTCTTTTTTCAGAAATAAATTTTATTTTACTTATAACTAAGAATGATAAAAGTTCCCTCTATTGTTTGTATATGACACTTGCTATTTCCAAAGTTTAAGAAGAAGGGGTCACTCTGGCATATTCTGTAGATTTATTTCCAACAATTCAAGTTAGGCACTAGATTCCATTTACTTTTAAGAATGCTGCTTCAAATAATATCTTATAGAGGATGCATAAAACACCATTATGCTAACTAATATAGAATTATTTTATTAAGATAGATTTTCATAAAGAAACAGAGGGGGTAGACAAAAATACAAAGACCAATTTATAATTTATGAATATCTTTCACATTTTGAACCTCTGTTGTTGTAAATGAGTTCTTTATAAATTGTAATACTATTTTACTTTGAAGAAATTTGTATAAATTGTGTATAATTCTTTAATTTTCAATAAATGTATTCCAAAGATTTATTTTAGAGGTGTGTGTGTGTGTGTGTGTGTGTGTGTGTGTGCGTGTGTGCGCGTGTGTATGTACATATGGAGATCAAAAGAGATGTCAGATCTCCTGTAGTTGGGCTTAGAGGTGATTGACAATTGCATGTGCTCAGAATCAAACTTGGGTCCTTTGCAAGAGCAGCAAATAGTCTCAACCATGGAGCCATTTTTGTATCCTCTATGTATAACTCATATTTTTCTTCCTTTTTTTAGAGTTGGTAGGGAAACTTGTGATCTAGACTTTGCATAAGAGCCTGTGGTGTGGTTTGCTTGGGACCTTGTGAAGGCAAGCACGATTCTGTATAGTCTAGGGAGCAGAAAACAGGGTCCCTATATCTGACAGAAACAATAGCATGGAGTCTTGTTGAATGCATGTAGGATCTTAACAATAAAGAGAAAAGAGATGGCCATTCCTGAAGGCACAGAATGTGTCATCCTTCTGGAAAGGGAGGAGTGCACATGACCTCATGATAATATAGAATCAGGGTCCTAGTAGAAGAAGAAAGAAAATTAGTTGGTCTAGGGACGAGGAAGGAGTGGGCACTACCCAGTGGCAGCATTGCCATATAAGTTCCAGAGAAGGGAGATGGGGTGCTGACAGCCTAGAGAAGAGAACAAAGGTCCTACCCAGTAGGTCAGTTGGTGTGGGGGCTGTGTCTATATTTTTACTCCTAGAAGATGTACATAAATGATTGAAATTATTGAAACATATGTAACTTATGTGGTTTTAGAGATATAAAATGTATACTTTAATATGTTTCTATAATGTTAATGCATTTTACATGAATTGCATTTTTCATTTGTATACATTTACTAAACTGTATAATATCAGAGACTATGAACTCTGTGTGTGTGTATGTGTGTGTGTGTGTGTGTGTGTGTGTGAGAGAGAGAGAGAGAGAGAGAGAGAGAGAGAGAGAGAGGGAGAGAGAGAGAAATGGACACAGAGATAGAGAAAGACAGATAGATACACAGAAAGACAGGGGCACAGGGAGGAGAGGAGGACATATAAAAGTGTATTGCTTTTAGCAACAAAATTCACTGCCTCATATTGGCAAGTATAATAAAAACATAACTAATATATTTAAACTCATTATTTCAGTACATAAAATCTTCAGACTGATTCTGTGATCTACATTTATACATAAGGAAAATGCAAGTTTATTAATATTCTTATTATAAATGCAACATAATTAAGATTTTTCTATAGTTTCTTAAGTTTCATGTGGCATAAGACATCATGACATGGATGCAGCCTTTTGTTCTTTATCAAGTCATAGTAATTTGCTTTGTATTAATACCATCAAATTTGTATTCTGTGCTGTAATGTTCAAGGTGTATTCTCTTTTTTACACATAACTGTAGGAGTAATGTCGCACAGCAGGGCACATAAAAATTTTTAAACTTCCCTAGCATTCTTCAATATGATATCAATACCAATAGTAAATATATTCATTTAATTTCATTATCCCCAGAACTCTTGTCATTATTCCCATCTAACCTAAGGTGATTAATTGGAAAATACCTTGCTACAGCTTTAACATGTATATTTTTATTGCTATCAGTATGTCTACATTTACTGACCTATAAATACTTTCTTTACATGAAGTATGTGTACTTGGATTTTTTCCCTATTGGATGAATTTCTTCATTGACTTACAAGATATCTCTGTCTTTTAAATAACTACAAGCATCTCTAACTCTGAGGCTTGTTTTAACATGTTTTATAAAGTGTCTTTTGACACTGAGAAATTACAAATTTAGTGTATCTTGAATTTGAACCTTATGTATAATGTCTTATATGATATTGATACTATGAGGAATACTAAAATTCTAATTTTTCCACAGAACTTTATTCAGTCACAATTGAATTACAGCTATTGGGTTGGATTACGTAAAAATGGAAATCAATTCCAGTGGGTGAACCAGAAGGATAGAGCACTTTCTTCAAACTTGTAAGTTTTTTTTTCAGAAACTTCCTTAAAAATTGATTCACTATAAGACAAGATCCTTCTGAATTAGATCATGTCATTAGTTCACTACTATAGCTTTTCATGCACAGAACCTCATGGAAATTAAGACCTAATAATAACAGAACAAAGAAGCATTTCTTTCCATGTTTCCTAATTGTTCTGTTTGTTATTTTATTATTTTAAAGGGTATATGCATGTTTCACATATATCTGTTTAGCATGTGCATGCCTGATGCACTCAGAGTCCAGAAGAGGACATTGGGTTCCTTAGAATTGGAGTTACAGATCATTGTACGCAGTCATATAGGTGCTGGAAATTGAAATAGTCCTCTGAAAGAGCAATAAAAACTGTTAACTGCTTGGCCATATCTTTAACCCCTTCATCAAGAAAAGTACTCTATATCCCTGTACTAGGCCTTATCATTTAGCGGCTTTCTCTCAGAAGGGTGTGGTGCCAACTTAAATAACCACATATTTGCATTTTTATATTGTGATAATAAAAGCTTTGCTTAACAAGTAATTTGTCTTCAATAAACATTTTTGACACAGATATTTTCGCTCAACAAATTCTGCATCTGCAGATTGTGGATACCTCAAGCCAACGTACCTCAGCAACAGTGTGTGTAGTAGATATCTCCATTACATTTGTGAAAAGAACTTTACCTGCCTTGTTACTTTGAAGAATTGGTAAAAATCACAGTTTTTCTGTTTTTATTCCTTAATGGCTATTAGTAAAATAAAATTCAATAGCTTAGAGTATTTGATCCAAATCAGTAAACTCTACGTGACTTAGGAAGCCTTATTCTCTTGAATCAAGGATAAAGCAAAGATTTTTAGGCATTAAATGAAATAAACTCAAGAAGTACATATATATTTTAAAACGGCAAGAACCAGTGAATGGAGAAATATGAAACACTTAATTTGTTTGGGAAGACTTTGTACTTATTTCTTCCAATCATCTAAGAAAATGTATTTCCATAAATGAGTGATATATTTGTATTACACAAAATATAAATGAAAGCAAAATTATACTGTAAAACCATTTATTCTTTCCTTTCTTGTCTTTCCTACCACTTGTCAGACTCAATTAGATTTTAGATATCATCCCAAGGATATCACATGGAAATGCATTCTACTTATAAAGTAAATGTTACAAATGCATAAAGTTCAGTATATAGTTTTCTATCTCAAGGGTGGGTTTTGTTTTCATATAATGCCTCACTATGTAGTTGTGGTTGGCCTGGAACTGATGTAGAACAGACTAACTTAAAATTGGTGGAGGTCCTCTCACCCTGGACTTCCTGAATGTTAGGATTGCTGGTGTGAACCACCAGCCTCATTTTGCTTTTCAATATTTAGACATCGCAGACTGTTTCTTGTCCAGACATAGAGGATATGTATACTTTTTGGAAGCATCTTTAATCATGTGCTAGTATGAGATACCCCAAAATGTGCTTGGCCAATCTTTATTTAGGCTTATTCTAGAATTTGCAATTACATGAAACCTAGAGTGAGTGATGCTTTATTCAGTTTTATGTAGCACAGAGAGTATCTCCAGGATAAACCTCTGCTTCTGTTATTTCTGTATCAAAGTTTTACATTTTAGCAGATATTCAATAAACAGCATTCACACTGGTTGTGTCTTTATCATTCTCCAAACAATAATTTTCACCAATACTTGATTCTTCACATTTTTAACACCAGTGTGTTGTCAATAGATTTTATTTGGTTAAGAAAATATTTCCTAAAGGAGATACTATTCATTGTTTAAATGACTAATTCCTCATTAATTTGTGATAGTTAGTCTGATTTGTATAAGCACTTTGTGTGTGTTTAATATACATTATTGCTTGAAAAAAGTATTATCAATTTAAATTTTTTTTCATTGTTTCATTCTACTTTAAATGTTTTTTATCATTTTTTATTTTAATTTTAAATGGCTTGTTTTACATGTCAATCCCAGTTCCCTCTCCCTCCCCTCCTCCCACACTCCCCTTCCCCCCCTCCCTCCCACCCTATTGCCAAATCCTTCCACATAGGGGATATCTAGAGTCTGTCATTTTACTCTTGGTAGGGTCAAGGCACTCCCCTAAGAGTCCAGGCTGAGAGAGCATCTCTCTTTGTGCTATAGGCCCCTGAAGACAGTTTGTATACCAGGGATAGACACTGATCCACAGCTCAGGGCCCCATAGGTTGCCCAGGCCTTCTCACTGACCCTCACATTTGGGGGGTCCAGATCAGTCCCATGCTGGCCTCCCCACTGTCGGTCTGGGGTCCAAGAGCACTCCCCTGTTCAGATCAGCTGTCTCTGCTGGTTTAGCCAGCCCATTCTTTGCCAATTTGCTCATCACTCCTCTCTCTCTGTCACTGGGTTCCTTGGGTTCAGTTCAGTGATTAGTTGTGTGTTTGCCTCTGCTTCCATCAGTCACAGGATGAAGGCTCCCGGATGGTTATAGACATCAAGTTCATTATCAGGAATGGGCATTCGAGGTGGTCCCTCCACTATTGCTTAGCTTGCCAATTGATGTTATACCTTTAGATCACTCGAGGTCACTCTGGTGCCTGATCTGTCTTCGATCCTATGATTCCCTCTTCCCCCTATTCTACCCCCACCCCCTCAACTTCCTGTTCCCCCATGACCAACTCCCTTCCTCTTTACCCCCTCTATTCTTCCCAGGTCCCACTCCCCCCCAACCCTCGCCGTGTTCCCCATCCATTCAGAGGATCTTGTCTCCATCCTCTTCTCTTGGGTACTATGCATATATGCATATCTTTTAGGTTCTTTCATGTTTCCCAGACTCTCTATCTGTGGAAGTGCAGACTGGCACTATCCTGATCCATATCTAGAATCCATATATGAGTGAGTACATACCATGTTTGTCTTTTTGCAACTAAATTTTTTCAATAGTTTTAAATTAAAATGGAATTTATAAAACAACACATTACTTGTACATATTTATGGGTAGTAAGTAATTTTATGCATATTATAATGTGCAACAACCAACTCAGAGTTACTACCACTTGCCATGCCTATGTCTTGGAACACCTTAGAATCTTCAGTTTACAAACACAATTTTGAGTGAAAGAAAGCAGACTCAATATAGATTATCTTCTAGACTTTGACTCACCAATAAAGGCCACTAATAGGTGATTCTAACCCAGGGCATTAAACATTAGGGAAATGTTTTCTTATTGTAGTTTGGATTGAGCACTGGATAATGGTATAAACAGGTAAATGTGGGAGATAGCACAATAATATTCCAAAAACCATTCTTTTTAAAATCAAAAACTCTTTGGGGGCCCAATAAATACGTGGAGATTTATTCTTAATTGTGAAGGGCTAGCACTACCTTGGTTATTTTCTAGCCAGCTTTTCTAACTTAACTTATCCCATTTCTCTTTAACTATGTTTTGCCTCTAGGCGTTTTGTCTTTCTTTATTCAATATACCTTTATTTCCTTCTTACTCTATGACTTATTCTGTGGCTGGTACCTAGTTGCCTGGGTTACTTGCCCCCGGCATCCTCCTTGCTTTCTTCCATTTTCACTCTTCACTCCGTTTCTTCTTCTCTATCCTAGATTTCTCTTTCTATTTATTCTCTCTGCATACCAACCCTGCCTATCCTTTCTTCTGCCTAGCGATTGACCATTTATTTTTTTATTATATCAATCAGGTCTTTTGGGCAGGCAAAGTAACACAGCTTTAAAGAATTTTTAGAACGCAACATAAAAGTATGCAGCATGCTTCCAGTGCCTGGGGACTGCCTGGGGACTGCCTGGGGACTGCCTGGGGACTGCCTGGGGACTGCCTGGGGACTGCCACAGAGCCTCCCCTCCTAGTGGGTGTCATTTACTCCATATTCCTTGTCTTCTCTACCACCAAGGGAATCGGTGGACCAGGAAACCCAAGCCCTGAATCCCAGCTTGCCTACCAGTGCCTGGGGACTGCCTGGGGACTGCTACAGAACCTCCCCTTCCAGCGGGAGCCATGCACCCCAGATTCCTGGTCTTTACTTCCACCACCCCAGATTCCTGGTGTTAGCTTCTACCAAGGAGACCAGGGGACCAGAGGACCAGTGCCTGCAGACTGTCAGTGAGCCTTCCCTCCCGGAGTGAGCCTATGCACCCCAGTTTCCCTGTCTTCTTCTATACCCACTGGGCCAAGCAATTTGTGATCTGTTTCTGGGTCCATGCTCCAGTACCTGGAGACAGCCACTGAGTGTCCCCTCCAGGTGGGAGCCTACATATCCGAGATTCCTGGTCTTCCTCTCCACCCACAGGACAAGGACTAGGACCAGGAAGAGGAGAACTAGCCGAGTATTGGACTTGCTTAAACCCACCGAAAGGGGACTGTGGTCCCCTAACCACCAGCCCTGCTCTTTCTGCACCCACCAGAAGAAGACACTGGAAAGAGACAAATCGAAAACACACTCAGCAACAGAAAAGCAAATATGACACTGCCAGAGACCCCACACCAGAAAGACTCCAACATTCCAATGCAAATGAAGCAGAAGAGAATGACCTTAAAAACAACTTCATGAAAATGATAGAAGCCCTAAAAGAGTATATAGGAAAATCCCTCAAAAAATTTAAAGAAAAAACAAACCAAAAAATGCAAGACATGGAAGAAAAAGCAAATCAAAAAAATGCAAGAAATTGAAGAAAAAACAAACCAAAAATGCAAGAAAAAAACAAACCAAAAATTTTAAAAATGCAACAAATGGAAGAAAAGACAAAGCAAAATTTGCAAGAAACAATTAAAACAGTGCAAGGGTTGAAAACTGAAATGGAGACAATAAAAAAACATAATCTGAAGGAAGGCTGGAAAAAGAAAAGCTAGGAAAATGGTCAGGTACTACAAATGCAAGCATAACCAACAGAATACAAGAGATAGAAGACAGAATCTCAGGCATTGAAGATACACTAGGATAAACTGATTCACTGACCAAAGAAAATCTTAGGTCCAACAAATCCCTAACACAAAACATCCAGGAAAAATGGGACACCATGAAAAGACCAAGCCTAAGAATATTAGGTACAGAAGAAGGTGAAGAAAACCACCTCAATCAGGAGTATCAGCTCCCTTGGATCTGTAGCGATAGGTAATTGTGAGCTGCTAACATTCAGTGTCTGTAAGAGTATCAAATATTATTAACCATCTAGCCATATTTCTAACCCAACATGTTCTATTTTTTCGTTAAATTTTATTTATTATTTGAGAATTTTAATAACAATAAAAAAGAAAACCACCTGAAATGGGCAGAAAATATATTTAACAAAATCATAGAAGAAACCGTTCCCAACCTTAAGAAAGACATGCCAATGAAGGTACAAGAAGCTTACAGAACACCAAATAGAGTAGATCACAAAAAAAAGTCCCCTCGCCACATAGTAATCAAGACCCCAAATATATAGAACAAAGAAAGAATATTAAGAGCAGCTAAGGAAAAAGGTCAAGTAACACATAAAGACAAACCTATCAGAGATACTCCTGACTTCTCCATGGAAACTCTGAAAGCCAGAAGGTCTTGGATAGATATTCTACCAACAGTAAGAGCCCATAGATGCCAGCCCAGACTACTATACCCGGCAAAGCTCTCAATCACTATAGATGGAGAAAACAAGATATTCCATGACAAAACTAGTATCCACTAACCCAGCCCTAGAGTAAGAGACCATGGCTGCCAGCCCTGACTACTATACCCAGCAAAACTTTCAGTCACTATAGATGGAGAAAACAAGATATTCTATGGCAAAACTAGAGTCAAGCAATACATATAAACTAACCCAGCCCTACAGAGAGTTCTGGAAGGAAAACTCCAACCCAAGGAAGTTAACTATAATCAGAAAAAAATAGGCATTAGATAATCCCACCTTACCAGCAGCCAAAAGAAAAAAGGGGTGGAATTCCACACGTAATTCCAAAACAACCACCATGCCAAATCAAAGGAGGATGAACAATCAATGGTCATTAATATCCCACAATATTAATGATCTTAATTAACCCATAAAAAGACACAGGCTAACAGATATATTCGAAGAGGGAACCCATCCTTCTGCTGCATACAAGAAACACACCTCAGCCTCAAACACAGATATTACCTCAGAATTAAGGGTTGGGAAAATATTTTCCAATCAAATGGACCCAAGAAACAAGAAGGGGAAGCAATCTTAATATCTAGCAAATTAGACTTTAAAATAAAATCAATCTAAAGAGATGAAGGAGGTAATTACATACTCATCGCAGGAGAAATCCACCTAGATGAAGTTTTAATTCTGAAAAACTATGCCCCAAATACAAAGGCATCCATGTTCATAAAAAAACATTACCAAAACTCAAATCATATATAAAGCCACACACACTTATAGTGGGAGACTTCAACACCCCACTCTCACCACTGGACAGGAATATCAGACAGAAACTTAACAAACAAGCGAAGGAACTAATAGAAGTTATGACCCAATTGGGATTAATAGACATCTATAGAATATTCCATCCAAATAAAAAAGAATATACCTTCTTCTCAGCACCACATGGAACCTTCTCAAAAATCGACCACATACTTGGCAACATATCAAACCTCAACAGGTACAAAAAATTGGACTAACTCCATGCATCTAATCAGATCACCAGGT